GATGACAGGTGGTGTCACCTGCCTTCTCGGTTGACGATTCTGAGTTAGGGAAGGCCTAGGAGTTGTGGATGTGGTAGGCTGCTTCCCTAACTTGACCTGCTTCCTATTCTGTCGGCAGGTCCTCTCGATCTCGGGATCTAGTGGCAGTAAATTGCCAGTCGTCCTCCTTGGCATGCACGAGGAGGATTAACCTGAAAAATTCACCTGCACACTAACACCCAGATCAAAACAGTTCACTCACAAAAATCAACAAAAATAAGGTATGGCAGTCCCCGGCAACGGCGCCAAAAACTTGATAGGGCAAAATCGTAATGCCAATTCCTATCTTGTAGTAATCCGGAAAGTCCGGGTATCGTCTCTCAGGGACTGGTACAACCTTATGATTTATCAATTCTTTCGAGCAAACTATATGTGAAAATGTTTAAGAGATGAAATTATTAACTAAAAGCAAAATTAACTAAACTAATTAAGCAAAGTAAACTTGTCGAGGAAAATTCAATGGGAGAAAGCTCTGGGAGAAACACCGGGATTCACTACCTATCCTATCCAGACTAATTCACATATTCCAATCAATTTAATCCATACCTCTACAGCCAGGATATCACTACTGTGCTAGCTATCCCTGTCGGGAATTACTACGTACTAAACAATCAATTCAAATCCTACTGTCGTAGCTCAATGAATTAACTATATAGCCTGAAGATCGATATCCTATTTAAGACCGCATAGCACCTTATTTAATCCACTGTCGCTTCGATAAGTTACTATGTCACATGAAACAGGTTCAGTTAATAGGGTTTCACTGTCGCTAATAACCTAATCAACTACGATTCATTGTATTGGTGGCCAGTCAACACAAAGCATTAAGCAATTTCATGCAATAGAGATTGGAAGAAAAGAATCATGAATCAATCCATCAAATCAAGAACTAGCTACATCCTATGGTGTTTCCCCCAGAAATTGGGGTTTAGTTCATGACGAAATTAAGATAAATCGATAGGGTATTGTTCATCATGTTCTAAATCAACAAATAACAACTAATTCGGTTTAGAAAATCCAACCAACTAATCGCTCTCGTTGAACTCAGCTCAAACCTTGGAGAAACCGATCGCCAATCGCCAATTGCCAATTGATGAGAGTTTTTCGTCCCAGCCTGTGCTGCGCCGCTCGCTGTTCTTTCTCCCAATCAGATTTCCCCCCTCCTGTCGAAAAGCCCAGAATTCCGTCCGCTTCCTCTTTTCTATTCCCTTTGATCCACGCCTCAATTAATTGCCAACTTTTTTGTCCGAGAATTTCCTTCCAAGCCGCCAGCTGCCAAATATTGTAAGTCCACTCCTATGGCTATTAGCTCCGTCCAAAACCATCAAAGAAGCTGGCCCAAGCTAATTCCAAAGTAAAGTCCACCGCCAGTCCAAGAAAAGGAGCCCAGTCGAATGGGCTTTGGCCCATTTCATTAATCCCCATCCAGTCGGGCTTTGAGTCCAGCTTTCGAGAATTGTTTGCCGGTGCAACTTCTTTTTCGTGTTTTCTTCACCTGTAATACATCAAACTCATAGCACTAGGCAATAATGGTTTTTCAACCATTCTCGGGTTAGCGAGCCCTAAAATAGCACCAATTGGCTAAAACATACCATGGATAATCACATAAAGTCCAAGAATCCGATATATTAAAGCCGAATATCAATACTCTACTAAGGAACCCCGTTGACGAAGCTTATTGAACTCGGCCACCACTCCACCATACGTTCTATTCCCAAATCGCTGGCACAATGCTGCAACAAATTCCTCCCAAACCAACTCCCGTCGACCAATTTTTACCCTTCAAACCATAGATCCGCTCATCGTTGAAAATAGATCACCGCCAGATTAACCTTTTGATCATGAGGGATACCATAAATGTCGAACAATTTTCGCATTTCCGCGTCCATTCATGAGGATCGTCGCCATTGAAAGATGGAAAGTCCAGTCGGGGAAGCTGATGAAACTGATTCTGGTTACCTGGGCCGTGAACTGGAAATTGTTCCCGCTCTGCTACTGGATTGATCGTAGCGTGAGCCCGAGGCACCTGCACCAAGACAGGTTCAGCCCCTTAGAAGCCATGATTAGGCAAAGGAAGAATGCCCCGCGCACCATTTCGGTCGATCGGCGGCGCCACCGCCCCGGCAACGACGGTCGCTGCCCGTGGATGAACTACCACCTGCAGCATATTACGAATCTCTTGTGTGAATTGACAAAAACGATCATCGATTCGAGCTTCCATGTCAGCGAGTCGTGTTGCGGAACTCGTCTCCATCTCCGCGAAACGCGTCGCTGAGGTCGCCTCCATGGAATCCAAGCGAGTCGTCAAAGTCACGAACTGCTGGGAATGACCATCGGAACGAGTCATGAGCTCCTGGAATTGAGCAGCATGAGAATCCACCAAGCTCTGAACGTTGGTGATTCTGTCATCGAGAGCCCCCTGCGCCTGATTAGTCGACGCCATTAAGCCCGTGAGTCGCTCATCGATGGTTCCTCTTGTATTCGTCATTGAAGACATAGCCAAGACAGTGCTCTGATACCACCTTGTCACCACTTGAGGGATCGATTGTCTTGGCGATAGATGGATTTAGGGAAGAAGAGGGAGATTCAGAGATTTCAGAGAGAAGGAAGAAGACGAGCTCGGGAAGAGAAGAGAGAGAGAGAGAGAGAGAGAGAGAGAGAGAGGAAGGTAGAGTTGTTATTAGGCAAAAAGTAGTTACAACGGTCCTCGCGGTATTTCTTTTATACAAGGTGTAAAATATCTAATCCAGTCACTCAACTTTTGTTTCTAGCTTATTCGATCCGTCGGTTACATCGAACATCAATAAACTGCAAGAAAAAATCCTCCGAAGAAATTAAGAAGCAGAACGCCTCTAAGAAGATTGAGCTATGAAATTCCGCTCCTCCGTTATCGGAAGAGGAAAGTAATGGCGGCAGTGGGAAGAAGGAGCCTGTCAACGCTGGGAGTGGAAATAAAGCGGTGCTGCGGTCAGTGAAGAAATTGTAGAGGAAGGTTTTGTCTTTGCTGTCGAATTTGCCTTTGGATTGGATTGAAGTGGTGAGTAGGTTAGGGTTTAATTGATTTTTATTTATTGGTTTATTTTATTTTGTATTAATTATTTTGATGATGTGGATGCTGACTGGACAGTTGACTGGACCAAACTAACAGAATTTAGGATGGAGATGGACGGAATTACCATTTTGTTATTAGTTCAAACATATGTTACTGAAACGTACAAAATTAAAGGTTTGCGACCATTTTGTACAAAGTGAATAGTTCGTGACTCTATTCCTTCTCTGAAATGTATACAATACAGGGGTAAAATATCTCAGGTACTACTTATCTTTGAGAATTGGAGTAGAAATACCACTTAAATTTGAATAGAGCGTCTACTATTAAAGTCGTTAAATGTGCATCCATCTACTTTTCCATCCAACCTAAACTTTTAATTACTTTTTGGTACTTAAAACTTTTAAAAATATTCAAAACTATATTTCAACAAGTTTTATCTAATATAAAAATTAGAAAACCTTCTAAACAGTTTATTACTAAAATGTCTAATCAAAAAATTTAAATAAAATAGATAAATTAGTAAAAATAATAAATGAATATTAAGACGAATAAGAAATATAATAGAATATAATAATAAATATTTAAAATTAATATTAGAATATCAGATATCTAACACCTCAATTCAATTAGAAACACCATAAAAAATAGTTAAAATAGAACCTAATAGATCATCAATACATCAAAACCAAAGAAGGATAAATGAACACAATCATAAAGAATTAAATATATTTCCATAATTAAAAAAATATTTAGAAAAAAAAGAGACGGAAAGTGACCAACTAATAAATAACTATAAAAGCTACAACATTCAGTAAAAATTGTAAAAAATAAAACATGACTATAGGAAGAGAATTAGAATTACTAAGTTTAGCTAATATGAATCTACAATATAATAATAGAGAATTAAAGGAGAGTTAACATGAAAAATTAGACATCAACATGATGTAGGAGAACTAAATATGACATTCTCATATTATTTATAGATAGAATTCATAAGATATATTTGTTCCACGAAATTATTCAATTATAAGAACACATAATGATAATTGAAAATATTTGTAATGATAATTGATTCTAAATTTTCTATTCAAAAATTGATTTGGTATCAAGTATTCAAAAGCGGTTTCGAACTAAACAATAAAAATGATGTTTTTTATAATTCCAAATGATTTTTTCACAATAAGAAAAGTAGAAGAACCAATTATGAAATTTAGAAAACGAAATATTCCAAGAATATTCTGCCAACTTTAACAGAATGCACTTAGCAATAAACTTAAGTGGTACCGGGTGGCGGGTGCACATATTATAGAGTTTAATGGTACGCGATACCCTATTCTTAATTAAGTGGTATAGCTCCCCCAATTATTATACTTTAATAGTACTCAAGGTATTTTACCATAATACTGTCAAATCACCTTTGAAACCAATTTAAGTTGGTGCAAAGTTTATTTATCTTTGTGTTGCTATTTGCTAGCAAGGTTGTCAACTCGCGGGTTGATCCGGGTTGGTGAGGACTTGGCGTTGAAAACGGGTTAAAATAGCTCATTTGAGAGTTAGCCGGAAATGGTCAAACCCGGTCAAACCTGGGGAAACCCGGACGGTTGGCCCGTCCGAGCGGGTTAGCGGGCTGCTCGTTCCAAAGCGTCAATGAATTTTTACTATGTTGAATTTAAGTTGATTTTATTTAAGTGTGTTGGAGTTTAAGTACAGTTGTTTTTTTATGTTGGATTCAAAATAAGTATAATATAATGAGTTTTTCATATTTTTAGGCTAAATCGGATTAAAACGGGTGACCCATTAACTCTTAACTCACTAACTCAACTGGATCCAGGTCGACCCGCGGGTGGATAACATTGCTTGCTAGTATCATTAGAGTTAAATCACCATGATTGCTTTAATTGGAGTCCTAATGGCAGCTGTCAAGTGTTGTGCCATGGGGCACACCAATGGTTAGGTTGTTGGGATGCAAATATTGCAAAACGCCTTCTCCTCCCCTCATCCTCTCCCTCCGCCCACCACGTCGATGGCGACTCTGTTCCTCTGTTGTTCATCATCGTCCCTCTCTCCTCTCCCGTCTCCGCCTACTGCTTCTTTCGGCCGCCGGAGCTGTTCCACTGGCTGTATCGGAATCGGAGCTTCGTCGCCTTCCACATCCGCTTATTGTTCTGCTTCGTCCAGCTCCAAACCGAAGGTCGTCGTCACCAGAGAGCGTGGCAAGAACTGGAAGCTGATCGATGCTCTGGTAAAGCCGTTCCTCTCTCTCTTCTCATCACATTCTATTGCTTGTTCTTGAATAGATATCAGAACAGTTTTCCCCCCTCCTATTAAACAAATGACTACTAGGTCTTTCAATCCTGTTGGTATTGTAAATTAGAAAATGCGAATTGCTGCTGCAATTGACAGACTCAGATGGCAATGGATTTGAAGCGAATTGAGATTAATTTATTGAGTAGAGGCCTTTGCCACTGTTACTTGCTGTTTGCAGTAATATTAATTGCTTCTAGTTTTAGCAGTTGTTGCAAGAAATGGAAACTGAGGTTAGAAATGTTTTTTGTCTTGAATTAGGGGAAACAAGGGATCGGAGCCCTTGAGCTTCCTTTGATTCAGCATATGGAAGGGCCTGATTCGAACAGACTGTCCTCTCTGCTGAGAGGTAAACTTGCTTGTATGATTTAGTTAGTGGTGCTGTTCCTGATGAACCCGTGGGATTGAACATTCACTGCCCTCCTTGGTTTACCTTGCTTTCTGCAGATGTAACCTTTGATTGGATCATCATAACGTCTCCTGAAGCGGGTTCAGTCTTTCTGGAGGCATGGAGGTGAGTATGTGAATATATGAATGATACAGCGAGCATGGATAAGTCAATTGCCCAGACCAGTTGCATCTGGTTTTACAAGTTCTTTCTATTAGACTGATGAACTTATCTTAAATTTTGGTCCTTAGGGAAGCAGGAACCCCAAATGTTAAGATAGCTGTTGTGGGAGCTGGAACAGCAAGCATTTTTGAACGAGTGATCCAACCTTCAAACCGGTCACTTGACATTGCTTTCTCACCATCAAAAGGTCAGGAGTGGAAAGTAATTATGTCGAATACACAAACTCGCACATGCATTACATCTTCATAGTAAATCGTGTAGTCTAGGGAATCTTTAATCAGCAGTGTTGAACATATGGTTCTATTATTTCCTGCTGTAATGGAACTAGTCCTGATTCATGGTAATGCTAGGGTCTGCAAAAATGCATCAATTCTACTTTTTCCCTGGTCTCTTCAACTTCATCTACCAAATGCTTATTCACATATGCTGATTCAACCCCCACGCAGCTTTGGTAAGAGGTGAATGGAGTTTTTTTTTTTTTTTTGCTCTTTTGTCACTGGTCTGTAACATCAGTCAGAAAACACTGGTCCGATGATTAAGCAAGCTTCTGATAGTTATCAAAATGTGTTTGAATTCTTGCTACTGAGTGATTATTTAGTTTTGTGAAGTACAAGGCTAAGATTTCATTTCTCTATTACTTTTTTATTGTCTCTTACCTTTCTTCAGCAACGGGTAAGGTTCTGGCAGCAGAGCTCCCTGATTGTGGGAACGGAAGGTGCACTGTCTTGTATCCAGCCTCTGTAAAAGCTAGCACTGAGATTCGTGAGTGTGATCATTCTCAAGACACCATACTCATAATGCATTATTCATAAAGCTTACTTACACAATACTTAAGTGTCAACTGGAGAGACTAGATTTATCTGGTCCCTCAGAATTAGTGGAAGTAAATAAAGCTGGCCAGTAGCCAAACCTTAAAACATTCTATCCATAAGATAAAGCATGGTAGTTTAAGTTAACGATGCTTTACATGTGAGGTTAGATGGGATTTTGCCCTGAATGAACTTGGATTGTATCTATAACAGAAGACCTTTGCTCTCTTCCAAATTAGTCCGTCGTTTTTTATTCTCAACCATTGCATATTGCTGATGACTTGATATTTCCTTCTGTATTCTCACATTAGCCGAGGAAATCATATGTTGGTCCTAGCTAGACATTCTTTCTATCTCAGTTAACATCCATCAGTTTGCTCTTCTCAAATTGTAGTTCATTTGCGAATCCGAAGATGAGTAACTGTTCACTTGTTTCAATCGTTCAGAGGAAGGCTTGTCTAATCGTGGATTTGAGGTTGTAAGATTGAATACATATACAACGGTGAGTCTTTTGATAGCACTGTAAGGACATTTCATGGTTCATTGCGACCCTTGTGTCTCTTTTTGGTGAAATTTCCCACCTTAGTGTTTGGTAAAATGTCTCCAAACTATGTACAATTGAACATTATATTTCCTCCAACCTTTTGATGCTCTGATGGTGCAGGAAGTGTTACTGTCCATTTCCTTCCCCAGCTGACTAACAAATTTATCCCTCCCTTATTCAACAATCTTGCAACTTCAGATTCCTGTAGATCATGTGGATCCAACAGTTCTTAAGGAGGCACTCTCTCTTCCTGTAGTCGCAGTTGCTTCGCCTTCTGCAATTCGGTAAGCACACTAAATTTCTTGGGAACAAAAAGTCATATATCATCTCTTGATCGAGCTGGGTTACAAGGCTCTTGCATATGCTTCTTTTCCCCCGAAGAAACATGCTCAGCTGATATATGCATTGATTGCAACAGTGCATGGCTCAAGCTCGTTTCTTCGGAATCAGGGCATTGGGACAACTCTGTAGCCTGTATCGGTGAGACTACAGCATCAGCTGCAAAAAGGTTGGGCTTCAAGAACGTCTACTACCCAACACAGCCTGGTCTGGAAGGGTAAAATTCTAAATTCTCCCCCATTACTGCTTTCAAAGTTGGTATTCCAGTTCAGCAGCTTTCTACAGCTCCTTAATGTTGTTGAATTCAGGTGGGTAGTCAGTATTTCGGAAGCATTGAGAGTACACGAAAAGTCTCAGACGAAGCTGGAAGTGTCGTAGCTATAGATTGGTCGGTCTGACCTTCAAATCCAAGAGCCAACAACCCACAAAATGATCTGTGTCTGTCTGAAATCAAACTCTTCATCACGGTCTGAATCCACAGCGACATCCCAAAGCAGGAAGGGTACTACTATGCATAGCTTCCAGAAATCAACTCCAAGGGACCAACAACACACAACATTTTGTTGAGCAACTGAGTTTCAGAGAGAGTTCCCCACCGTTGCAGACTTAAGGAAGGCATGCATGATTACTTGCCGACGTAGCTCTTGCATTTGGGCGAGGAGGCATTGAAAGGGCTGAATCTCTCTCGTCCTGTGTAAATTATGCTAGTTGTTCCCATAAAAAAAAATTATGCTAGTTGTAATTATTTTTTGATAATCTTGATTTTTCTTGTAATTGGCTCAGAGAAATGGGAAAAAATCCCAAACTACACTAGTTTTTAAAAAAAATTCCCAAAATACAGTAGTTATAAAAAAAATTCCAAAACTACACATGTTTGAGCATCACCGTTTTTGTCTAAAACGGTGAAGGTCATCACCGCGTTTGCCAAACACGGTGAGAGCTTCACCGTTTTAAATTAAAACGGTGAAGGGTTCACCGCTTTTGTTTAAAACGGTGAAGTACTCACCGTTTTAATTAAACACGGTGATGCCTTCACCGTTTTAAATTAAAACGGTGAACCCTTCACCGTTTTTGTTGGACGCGGTGAAGTGCTGACGTGGACAGCACGGGGTATTCACCGCGTTAGACAAACACGGTGAATAACCCGTGTTTGTTTGCGTCAGCAATCCGCGCCATTGTGCTTTCACCGTGGCCGTTGGATGCGGTGAGACGCGGATCGTGGTTTTCTTCCCACGATCCGACGCCTCGCAGCACGCCACGTCACCAGGCATTCACCGCGTTTGGTGAAAACGGTGAGTTCACCGCGTTCATCAAACGCGGTGAATGCATGGTGAATTAACTGCGCAGCATCTCCTCCCCCCTTCCCCCAAACTATAAATACCCCCTCCCCCTTTCACTTTCAACTCACCCCACAAACATTTACCTTCTTTCTCCCTCAATTTATCCGCTCTAGTCTCGTTCTAAGTATGCTCTGTGGTTGCGGCTAAGTCCGATCTTCCACATCAGAAAGAATTACTAGAGTTTGACCCTAAAGCCCCCGTCCCGCTAAGTTCCCGTCCCTTACAAAGCTAAACCCGTCGAACCTCTGTCCGGCTTCCGCCAATAATGGACGAAGAGCTCTTCGTGTAGGTTTTTGGTTTGTGATTTTTTTTAATCGAAACAATTTGATTTATTTTTTATCAAAACAATCTCTGATTATATTACTTTTTTATAGATGGGTGCCGAGATATACGATCCTCGATTGTATATCCATTATGGCCCAAGGGATGCGAGTCTATTAACCGATCAGCAAATGCATCGCTCCCGTGCCATTTGGGATAACAATCCGGTAATTTGATGAACTGACTTGCTTTATTTTATTATTTTCTAATGTTTTATTTTGCTTTATTTAATCTAATTAATTGATGTTTTTCCTATTTTTTTTAGGAATCTCTTGTTCCCGTGGTTCATAAAGGGACCAATAACTTGCCCGCTTGGCATCCAAGGTTGGAGCCCTATATAGCGAGGACCGGTTTGGGAATGTTGCGCCATTTCTTGCGGATCGAGATCGACAACGAGCTGCTTACGGCAATGGCGGAACGATGGCGTCCCGAAACCCATACATTCCACCTTGCGGAGGGGGAAATGACGATCACCCTCAAAGACGTGGCGATCCTCACCGGGCTTCCTATATCTGGAGATGCCATCATTGGGAACACGACCAAACCCGAAGGAGGTTGGGGGCCGCTCATCCGTGATCGTTTGGGCTTCGACATGCCGACCACCACACCAAATCAAGGACGGGGGCATCCACCGTTGAATGCGGGGCAAGTGTCGGTCCCGTGGCTGGTATCTCACATCCAGGAAGAGGTGGAAATCAATGACGAGACACCGGAAGAACAAGTCGAGCGCTACGCGCGCATCTACCTCATCGGTTTGGTGGGTGGATTTTTGTTCCCCGACAAGTCCAACCGGTGGATTCAAGGCATATGGTTGCCATTGCTCACCGGTGACTGGGATGCAATTGGAGAGAAGAGTTGGGGATCGGCCGTGCTAGCGGGCGTATACCGGGAGCTGTGTACTTGCTCGAGGGTTGGGGCAAAGCAAGCTGGTGCTGCGATGTTCATCGTTCAACTGTGGGTATGGGAGCATCTTCCAATGTTCGCACCTCTCGACCCACGTCCATACCGGAGAAACGATGATGAGCTCAACCTTCTGCAAAATCTCCCCTACGGTGTCAAGTAAGTTTATTCCGTACTTAGCCCAATTTAAATTTTATTACATGCTTGAGCTAGATTTAAATTGAGAATATTCCGTACTTAGCCCAATTTAACTTTTTATTACATGCTTGAGATAGATTTAAATTGAATTTATTCCGTACTTAGCCCAATTTAACTTTTTATTACATGCTTGAGCTAGATTTAAATTGAATTTATTCCGTACTTAGCCCAATTTAACTTTTTATTACATGCTTTAGCTAGATTTAAATTGAATTTATTCCGTACTTAGCCCAATTTAACTTTTGATTACATGCTTCAACTAGATTTAAATTGTCTGCACTTCCGTACTTAGCCCAATTTAATTTTTATTACATGCTTAACTAGATTTAAATTGAATTTAAATTGATTCCGTACTTTTACTTACAAGGTGGATAGGAGCAAATACGAATGACCATCAGCCTGAGCATTCGTTACTGTTTTATCGTTCTGAGTTAGATAAACCATGGTGGAATCAGGTAATCATGTTTTGTCCATATTTGAACAAGATCAATTTTATCAAAGTAAATGGTCGTTAATTCCGAATTTTTGTGATTTTAGGTTATATGGGATCCATATCCACGTGAAGTGGTTGAGCTGCATCATCTTAGGCACCCTCTGGATCACGAGACGTGGTTGTGCAAGGTGCCATTGATCTGTTGGCACATTGTGGAATGGCACCTACCCGATCGATCCCTGAGGCAGTATCGAATGGAGAAACCAATTCCACAAGACCCGCCAGCAGGTTTCAAGGAGCTACATGCTATGGACCTCCGAAACAATGCAAACTGGACGCTAAAGCATGGATTCTACATCAACATCTGGGAGAATCGATCCCAATGGGTGGTGCAAGGGATGCCGGAGACGAGACCGATGGGCTACCACGATGGGTACATGCAGTGGTATCGGAAGTTCACCTTGAGATGGGTGTCAAAGCAAGGTGCTGTGATGGGTTCGGTGGTAAGTCATCCTAATCTCCCTCATTCTTAAATATTTTTATTTTAATGTTTAGTTAATTTGATATATTTTGTGCTTTCCTTAGGTTGATGGTTTGGAACACGCGAAGTACACTCTCGAAAGTGCTCCAACCATGGATGAGCGGAAGACTACTTGGTTGACCCGACTTATGAATAACCTCCTGAGTTGCACCAGAGAGCAAAGGAGGGATGTCGTGGCCTATCCTCCCGTTCCTGCCCCGGCACGACCCTCATTCCGTGATGATGCAGCCATTGTGCCCCCGGTTGAGCCTCCACGAAGGAGCAAACGCAGGCCTTTGCCTACGTTCGAAGAGGTGCGTACCACTCAAGAAACCGAGCTCCCCGAACCGTTCGAGTACCAGTGGGCACCTACAGCGGATGCCGGTGGAGGCTCATCGAGTCGTGGGGGATCTCAGGAATGGGACACTTTCTCTCATGGGTTCTCTCAATTCCAACATCAGCAACAAAGTTCGATGTTTCAGACCCCGCAACAACAAACTCCGATCATTCATCAAGCTACCGCTCCAACTCAGCCACCACCACCACCATATGTAACCCCAGTTGGGGCTCGGGTCAAGAGAAATCCGCGACCAGCCGTTGAGCGAGCCCGCCAAGAAGCAGCGGCGGAGGGGGGAAGAAGGGGTCGAGGACGTCGTGGAGGACGAGGAGGAAGAGGTGGCGATGGGGGCCAAAACGAAGCAAATTAGTGAATTTATCGTTTTATCATTGTAGTGAACTATCAATGTTGTTTTTGTGATTTTTAGATGTTGTTATTTGAGTTTGCATTGTCTAAAAACTATCCTACGCAGTTAAGTTGTCGAATGAATTTTCTGGATCATTTTATCAAGAATCAGTATCTTTCCTCAACACAAAAAAGTTGGGCAAATCAACCACGATCGCATAGAATTTTACAGATCCCAATTCCGAGTCCAAACGAGTGAGATAAGTGACGTCAAAGCGTGATCGTATCGTTAAAGTAACTTTTGCGTACTATAAACTAAAACGCCCGTATCTTATTCGTTTGAGGTCGAAATAACGAGCCGTTTGCGGCCGCGCGATCGTATCGACAAGGAAAACATTTTTGATTTAACAAAATACTTGGACTTCAAATGCAAACGTTAATTAAAAATTAAACAAGCGATCAATTTAGTAGCAGAATACAAGTAAATGCAAATTAAGTTGATGGTTGTCCTGGGCAACGCCTCTTGTCGTGACCAGGTTGTCTGCACTTAGAGCATCGCTTCGGTCCCCTTCTCGTCCGTTCAACTTGATCCATCTCATTGTGTATCCTTTCAACTCTAGGACGGCCTTTGGTGCGTTTTAGGTGCAACGGTGGGATAATCAACTTTCCAGCGTATATAGGCCAATACGCTTCATCTGGCATGGGGGTCAAAGCTGCATGATATGAGTTCCGTATCGCTTGTTCAGTGTAGTAAGGACTCACCAGGCTGTTTCTGTTCATGGTTATTGACTTAGCAACCGCCATTGCATGTGAACAGGGTATCCTTTCGTTCTGATACTTTTGACAAGAACACTCCCCTAATTCGTAGTGCAATTTGACCGTTTGACGATTGTGACCACGTCTCCCTCCACCCCATATACCTGTTTCGACAGCGAATATTCCTTCACTGCGGTTAAAAAGAACAACCTTATGCTTACTTGATTTTTCATCGTTCTTCTGCATTTGAGCAAATACGTCATGTGCTATTGAATGACCTTGCAACTCCCTCCCTATAGCTAGCTGTAGCCGAGCAACTCGCCACTCGTTGACCTTCCAATAAGACATTTCCACGATGACAGAAATAGGCATCGCTCGAAGACCCTTGTAAACATTATTTATACTTTCTCCATGGTTGGTAGTTGCAATGCCCCATCTAGCCCCGTTGTCCATATGGAACGTCCACATGGGCAACTCTTGACCTTCAGCCCATACTGCTCCAGCTCGGTGGGTCTGACGGATCGTTTTCATGATCTGCTCGTACTTTTTTGGTTGATGTGCAACCGCTAAAATGTGAACAAAAGACTAACTGGTCAATACATGATGAATAACATCAGCTTATCAGCTTAATAAACACAAACTTAAATCGCATAAGAAAAACATGAGTACCTGCATTCCAAAGTAGATTTTTGATGTCTTTCTTCTTCCCAAATTTGTGTTGGAAATTGGCGAGCCAGTGCCGAATACACCATCTCCATCTCCACCCCCACTCGTCGGGAAAACCACCAACAGCATTCCTTATCCCCGCATGTCGATCGGATATAATCGTAATATGTTCCCGCTGTGTCACGTGTTCGTGCAGTTGGTCAAAGAACCAAGCCCAACTTAAACTGTTCTCCCCTTCCACTAATGCAAATGCAAGCGGGAAAATTCGCCTATTTCCATCAACGCCAGTGGCAATTAGAAGACATCCTCTGTACTTCCCAGTAAGGAAAGTTCCGTCAACCTGAATAAAAATTTAGGATATAATTAGTATGAAATATACTTAACAGCAAATAATACAACATTTAAAACCGGAACTAGTTGGTAAAATACCTGAATAACCGGTATGCAGAACCCAAAACCGTCAATGCATGGTTTAAAAGCCCAAAAAAGACGATGGAACATCAGCTTATCCTGTACTCGAACTTGATCCTCAGTGTATACATTGTTGTATACTGGGACGAAAACAGTCCCAGGATTGGACTCCTCCATTGCTCCCATAAGTCTAGGGAGTAAAGCATACGAATCCTCCCAATCACCATACACCTCAGCCATGGCTTTCTGCTTACCATGCCATGCTTTTTTGTACCTTATCGTGTAAGAATGTCGATCCTTCACCTCTGCCATGATAGCTTTCACCTTGATATCTGGTTGTGCTTCTATAAGGTGCTTAATAGTTCTCCCAACCTTCTTTGCTTTTAGTTGCCTGTGATCTTGGGAAAGTATAGAAGAGGAGCATGTGTGGATCGTCTCAGCTTTGCGAATCACCCAAGCACCCTTTCTCTTCATATTTGCAGCCCGCAGTTGCCACGTACAACCCTCTGCATCATGCTTGCATATGACATGTAATTGTTTACTGTCAGAATATTTTACCTTCCACTCGAAATTGCGCCTCAACGCCTCTTCTGTAAATGCATCCTGCACAGCGTCTTTCGATGTGAACGCCATACCCACCTCCAGATTGGCCGTTGGATTGTACACTGGCATAGGGACAAAGTCGGGGGGATCATTCTGACTATGTAAAAATTGAGTTGGAACCTGTGTGTAATATGGCGTGGGTGCCTCACGAAATGCCGCCTCATCCTCGTTATCATCAGTATCTTCCTCCTCCTCGCTCACTGATATCAAATCTTCCTCAGTATCCTCGTCGCTTGACTCGAATGGATAGCTCGAGCTAGAAGGATCAACATGACCACGATCACCAACATCGTCCTCTCGCTCATGTGAAGTACGCCCTGATCGAATGGTATTCTCGATTCCATACCACTCTGGCCCCCAAGCAGGCCATTGAACACCATCGGCCTCAACAAATGGGGCTGGTTTAGGAGGTTGCGAGTATTGGTCCCATCCTGCACTACTCGATCCACCGTAGTTGATTGAACCACCACCCTCCCCGTAACCTCCTGTATAACCACCGCCTTGGTAGTTGCTCGAACTACCACCCCATTCGTACCCTCCTGCAAAACCATCATCATAAGAATACTGGTGAGAATGAGATTCACCGAGCGCCTCGGTCTCAACATACACCTCTGCAAGCCGGACTTGGTTATCGCTTAGGAACTGTAACATCATCATAACCGCGTCATCATCGTTTATGACAACTTCTTGGAACACGACCCCGCCAGCACTCATGTCTGGATACCGGTAAGTAATTTTGCCAAGTCTCGTCTGTCCGCTCGTACAAACCCTTTCTGCACAAAGATCACAGAGTTCTTGAAAATTGAATCGGGATTCAATTTTCAGCATAATGGATTCGCCGTCCTCATAATCAATGCCTATGTCAGAGTTTGTCACCCTTCCATTCCACCGAATAGTAAGATGAAACTTCTTGAATTTACCCATATCTACAATTTACAATAAATATCTATTAGCTTAAAGACAGTAAAATTAACCAAAATCATATTGTACAACTAATATTAAATCATACCATAAGTAACAAAAATAAATTCAACTAACTAACAACAACATAATACGAAAATTAAATCATACTATAACTAACGAACATAAGTTCAACTAACTAACAACAACATAATACGAAAATTAAATCATACCATAACTAACGAAAATAAATTCAACCAACAAACAACAACATAATACGAAAATTAAATCATACTATAACTAACGAATATAAGTTCAACTAACTAACAACAACATAATACGAAAATTAAATCATAATACGAAAATTAAATCATACTATAACTACTAAAAACATAATTAGACCATAATACGAAAAGTCTCAACATACCGAAAAATTTCTGTTCTGTGTATTATGCTCGATTTTGGCTGCTGAAATTTGAAGAAAGGGGAGTGGTTATGTTTTTACAACTGCTGGTGGTGTGGTATTTATAGGAAAATCTGCCTACTATTCACCGTTTTTGACAAAAACGGTGAACACTATCACCGCGTTTGTCTCAAACGGTGAATAGGTGGTAGCTGCGACCTAATTTTGACCTACCAGGGGTGGGAAACGTGGGAAATGATCACCGCGTTAGTTAACAACGGTGAAGGCTTCACCGTTTTGGTCAAAAACGGTGAAGCTTTCACCGTTGTTAATTAACGCGGTGAAAGCTTCACCGTTTTGGTTTGAAACGGTGAATACTTCACCGTTTTTGTTTAAAACGATGAAGTATTCACCGTGTTTGTCAAACGCGGTGATGATCTTCACCGTGTTTGTCAAACGCGGTGATGCTCAAACATGTGTACTTTGGGAATTTTTTTTATAACTCATGTATTTTGAGAATTTTTTTTAAGAACGTGTGTACTTTGGGATTTTTTCCCAGAGAAATGAGAATTCTATCAGATTTAGTTTTTCAAAAGAACAAGAAGCTGTTTTGTTAAATTGTTATTCACTTCGATGCCCATAAGAAAAGAACAGCTCTGAAATGCCAAACAACAATAGCTTTCTGTTGGGCATTACTAGCCTACAAGTTTACAACAACTTCTTGCTCTGTTATCCGAAACCCTCTTCTGATGTCCTGAGGATTTCTCCTGTACTACATTACATTTACATAGCTAAAGCTAAAGGCTCTTGTCCCTTTGACGGGAAACTTGGAAGATTCACATCAAAACAAGAAGAGAAGGCTGAACAGGACTAAATCGGTTGTAGCAGTTTTGCGATTTTTTCATCTGCGTCCACTTGATGCTCAAGCTGCAATGACTGGCGAACTGGTTCAGGAGGATTAAGGCACAAAGCCTCAACTACAAAGCAGAGTTCAGGCGGGCTCACTCGACTAGCTCAACGTTCTCGTCGATCAATGGAGAGACATGTTTTCCAAATGGAGAATCCATTCACCATTCCTTCATTAGCTTCCCTTCTTCATAAGATGATCAACCGAACTATCTGACCCATGTACTTGAAACACTTTGATGTCTCTTTCAAGCATCTGTTCTTCTCGTCTCTAGACCAATGCTGCATACATTCCACAACCAAACTAGCGTCAAACACTTTCCGAAATCACTCACGGAAGAAATGCAGATGACGAGTCAGGGAAAGCAAACCTCTCCAAGCATGTTGACCTTCTCCCTTAGACCCTTTAACAGTTCTTGTGCATCTCCCTCCCATTGCAGGAACTCCAGCACTTCGCCTTCTAAAAGCTTATCACACACCTATAACCCACATTCCCAACAGGGCTGCAATTGTTAAATTCAATGGCTCCCTAATTACAAATTCATCTCAACTTATTCGTCCTTCTCCTTCTACTTTAAGTTCAAAGTTCCATACTTTCTCTCAGCCTCGGAGTCCTAATTCGAAGCGGATTCATTGCATAGAGAAACTGACCTGGGTAGCTATGACTTGGCCGCCGGCAATGTGAGAGAAGTAAATGTTGTACAAATGGGAGAGGAACAATGGTGCACTCCCTTCAGCAATATGCTCCAGATATTGGGCATAAACAACCCCTTGATTGCTTGGCTTAGGGATTTCAATGCCGTGATGCTCAGCCAGCCATTGAAGGTCCTTCTCCAGCGCCTCTGATCTTTCCAACCCAGTTTTCCTGAAATGTGTATCTGCAGAAGAAAGAAAAGGTTTAACAGTGGGAAGCCGGCTCCAATATACTGCAAGAAACTGAAGAAAATTGAAGCTCACATGAAACGTCGTCGGATTTATCAAGAATCCGCTCCACAGTGTTGAACACGAGCTTGCTGGCCACCAGATACTTGACGAACCCTTCCATACTCGGCATCCAAGTCTCCGATTCCCCTTCGTTTCCCTCTCCGGCTCCCTCTCCTTCTTCGGAACTCTGCGATTCGCCTTCGTCGGAGTCGGAATCGGAGGCGGTTTTGTTCTTGTGAGTGTACTTGCCCTTGATGTTGCGGAGTCGCATGGCGACGAACCTCATTTCTTCGGTAATCCCCTTGACCTCTCCCGGGTAGGGTTTCCGGTATCGCTTTCTCTTCCTCACCACCGGAGGTGCCACGGGCATCGCCGGAGAAGAAGAAGCATCAGCACCGGCGGCGGGTGATGAAGAACTGGGAATCGAGCAACACAAAATCGCCGGCGGCGTTCTTCCTCCTCCTCCCATTCCGGCATTTCTTCGGCTTCTTTGCACGGGAAGAGATAGGAAGTGATGAGTGGAGACGGCAGCGAGCTTCGATTGGGATGAGGAAAGGACCAGAGAATGGAATGGAAGTTGGAGGGAAGAAGCTGAATTGAGCGCTGTGAATGGGAAGGACAACATTATCGATTTTTGCAGAAATTGCTTGCAGTCTGGAGGAGGCTAGGAGCGGCAGTGGAAGTGTGCTTGGCGGGGGAGAGTGAAGAAGGGTCAGGCTTTTGGGCCCGTATAGGCAGGCCCAGTTATTTTTTAGTTTTAGGTTTGTGTTTTTGCTGGGCCTGAATTGGCACTGCACTTCCTTCGATGGATCATTGATCCATCCAAGGCCTATATTTTTCTTCCTCCTCTCTGATGTTTCAGCTAAGGCAGGACAAAAGAATAGATGTTCGACTGTAAATATTACTAGCGTGAGCTCCGGCATTTGGCTGTGTGAGGTATGAAATTTGATAATGTAATGCGGGTATACTGTATAGCTTATTGTTATATAGTTTTTTTTTGGGAAACACGTAATAAAAATAGTGAATTTCAGCCTGTTTGACCAATCCATGCCAAACTCTAATTATTCTTTACTTTTAAACTTTCTATTTGAAAATAAAAAATAATGAAAGAAATGAGATGACTACAATTTGCCATTTGCACATCACTGATTCGGGAATAAAACTATAGAATTTCTAAAGGAAACTGAAAATGTTTAGGATCGTTTTAATGTTAAAAATAACCAAATAGATCTTTCTGTTTAGTTTTTTACTAACAAATACCAAACGATTCCCTATAATATACAGTATAATCTAATGATTATGATATCAAATAATTACATAATATATATTTGAAATGATAAAAATTGGACTAATTGGGTTGGTTGAGGTTGAACCATTGAATAACTTTAAAAATACATTATATTTTAACCACTAAGATATAAAATAATAGCATAATATATATTATGCTAGAGAAATAGCTTGTTTTAGAATGGCAAACCCATGATGTTCATTTGTTTTACTTGATGGGCAAATCCTGTGTAGGTCAGACCCATTCAACTCTTTTATTTATGATTAGCGGTTAGCCCATTAGAATCCATGCATTAATTTATTCTTAATTTTTTTTTCCTTTTAGCAATAAAAAAAGGAGTATTGTTTTTGCCTTTTCATATATATTTTACCACCACGGAGAAATAAAAGGAGTTAAAGAAAAAAATTGACACTCCTGGACTCGTTTAAATCCGCGTGTGTATGGTAAGTTGGCTCGTTCCACAAAGTAAAAGGAAAAAAATTAACACTCCCTATTCTACCCTTCCTACAAACGCTCCTGGAGCAGGGAATTTGAAATGGGGGAAGAGTTTTTTCCTCTCTGCGATTATATGTTTTTAATTTAAAAAGTTACAACAAATGTACTTAGTGTGATTGATTATGATCTTTGCTTTTCTTTAAAGTGGGTCAAGGTTCGAATCCTAGTAAGTGTTTTTTTAATGAATAAAAAAAAGTAATTGTGAAGACCAAAATATCCTTCCTACTTTCACTCTGGATGCAGGAAATTTCAAATGGGGCTTCAAGTTTTCTCATTTGGCTTTTATTTATTGTGTAGATTAACCTAAATTTCTGGCCTTTTTTTCTCAAAGTTCTGACAAAACTGTGGTATTTAAAAATTTAGATCAAAATTATCTATTAAATCAAAGCTCAGTCCAAAACAAGGGATTATCCCTCGAATTTGAGAGTTCGGTGCATCATCAATAGATTTTCCAAAATTTTAGTGAAACCATTTTAGTGGTTGACCCCAGAGGATCACATCAAGTAAGAAAAATAGAACAGAGTGCTGATGTTGAATTTTGGCGGATCGCAAATAACACAATAGAGGGTAGGGTCTTCTCTGAAAAATTGGTTCCAGATTTAGGCATCACTACCAGAATTTCAGTACCCTTCCTTGCTTCACGAAAGAAAAGTCGCATATCACATCAGTTTTAACAATGAAACATATTTCGACCTCTACTCTCAACCAGCTCATCCAGACTTGACATGTATATTATACATGAATTTGTCAATTAAGATCAAAACTTAATCAAGAATCAACACAAACACCGGATTTACGTGGTTTCCCCAACGTTTGAACGTTGAGACTAGTCCACGACACAAGGCGAGAATTCTCTTATTACGTGTGTTCTTCAGAATTCAACTTACACGCAAACTCGGTTGCCAATCTACTAATATAGGCAGCTGCACTAAACCCTATATGTACATGACAAATTACATAAAGGTACTAAAACTTTTAACTTCTAACAGAATTATCACCCAGCATGTTTCCAAGAAGGCATATGCCAGTCTATACTAAGTAGAAAATAGAACGAAACGATACGTTTTGGTGGCAATCTCGAATCCGAATATTAGCATGTTGATAAATAAAAAAGTATTGGTGAGTAGTTATACAATTGAAATGCGCAATTCATGATCTCAACGGTTAAGTTTGTTAAATTGTGCGATCACACGACATAAGTTCACAGTGACACCTATCTCGTTTTAGCGAGATTGAGCAAATTTGAAGACGTGCTTTGGTGGATCATCAAGCTTCCAACTCAATTGCAAATGTCTGAAGATAAAAAAAGGGAAAGTCCTCAGAACTAGGGATGGCAATGGGGGCTGGGGGCGGGTTTTCATAAATCATCTCCATCCCCCATTTTCAAATACTCAAATCTATATCCACTTCATACTCATGCGGGAGGGATTTTGCATCCTCATCCTTATACCCGCAGTTTTCGGATACCAATTGATAATACCCATCCCATATATCCAATATTACTATATCTGAATTCTCCGAATTGACTGGATCAGAAGTGATAAGTATCTATGATTGAGGGTTGGATTGCTATATCTACCCACTCCTCTTAAAGGCCAGAGGAAGATCACTGCTTTTTGTAGTGGGAGACAATAGGGCTGGCCAAAGAGGGTTGGGTTGGGTCTGGATGCATATGGTGTTTCCTGCTGGAAGAAACTGGTCTGAAAGAAATTAAGGAAGTGCATGTTTAGTTTAGTGGGACACATTTCAGATCATATATATGCTTCTCTGTTTATATGTGTGCAATCGGCGGCCCCTCCTCTCCTCTCCTCTCCTCTTTTCTTGACGCTGCATCTAAGTACTGATCAATCGCAATCCTGACACCCCGGCCGGCCAGCCAGCCGTGTAATTAAAGGCTTCCTTTCATATGCATGCAGTTGGAGTACCTCCTCTATGGTGTTAAGTCTAGCTAGCAACGTTTGGTGACCAAAACTACCCAGCTATCTATACATTGCGGATTTTTCTTCAAAATACTAAACTTGATATTAAACATTCCCACGATGTCACATTTACGCTAAAACTTTTCAAAAATACTAGAGTTTGGCGCGGTTCACTGATCACTAGAGTGTTCAGCAATCTAGGTATTGCTTTGTTGGAGTCATTAGCGATATGGGTGGTGATTGCTCTGGTTGGCTGCGATTCGGACTGGTCCGAAGTTCGATTGCTTCGGTTGGCCGCTATTCTATGGTGGTTTGCTTCGGTCTCCAAAAAACCACTATCTACATTGCTAGACATTCCAGCGAACGGCGGCAAACTCGTCTTTTCACATCAAAGTCTACAAGGATATACTTGTATGTTATGACTTGACTTCATGTAATCATTATTTTTATCTTCCATCTATATTTATCGATGAAACCTTGGTGTGGTATCAACGATAAGATTCATCACAATACTCTTTTTTGAGTTGGTTGGTTGAAATCACATGGATTTCTCAATCGGATTGGGAAATTAACAATGTATAAAAGTAAAAAACGTACAAATTTACATGATCTGTATTAGCTAATTCATTAGCAGGAGAGATCAGTTTCACTATATTCGAGAAGATACATATTATAAAGATTGAGAAGGTGTATATAGCACCTTCTCTGGACTGTCTAACCCTAATCCAACCTGAAAATAAATAAAAAGTTACAAACAATAACAATAAACAAATGTGTAGAAGTCCATACACCATGAGTCAGTGTGTTGCCCCCGAACTCTCAAACTAGACGCTTCACTCCTAGACTCCAACTCCGCAACTCGTTGACCAGTCAACAAGAGCCAGTGACTTCGAGTTAACGACAAATAATCCGTCAACAAGTTTTAGCAACACCTAAACTGTCCCCTCCTCTCCATTATATCATCTAACTTTTGCACCCATGTCGTCGTTTATGATGGTGGAAATGCTGATTCGCGATAAGTACAGTTAACCTACCGAGATTTCCCATGTTAGTGATTCACCATGAAAGTCCTCCTAAATTGTGGCTGAGAGCGAGAGGTGGCCTGTTCGTTTGGTGTGTCATGGGTTCGTGTAAGAAGCCAAAGCATGGCTCGATCATCAAGCAGTAGTGTAGTCCTAATCATTTGAGGAATGTATTATATAAGGTAAGTGGGATTTATATTAGCGCCTAACTAACTGGGGATTATATACAAGCGATCGAGCGGCTCTCCGGGATCCTACAAGGCTGGAACTGTCTGTGGTTTCAACGAGCACATGCGATGTATTATTGTTGTCCTGTGGTTATTGGTGGTGTATGAAAGTGAAATTAGAGCATGAAGATAGGGCAAAAGGTCATATCTTAAAGTGTTGTTTGTTTGGTACTCTTTGGTCTGGTTGGGACTCCACCAGTCATGTCCCTGTTCTGCTCTGTTTATCGAAAGTAGTGGGTTTCGTACCACAAAGTGAAACAGGGGGAAAACAGTGTCCTGAATTCACCCCAAAAAAAGTGGGAAAGAAACAGTAATGGCGATATCTTGAGTAGTAATTATGGGGTTTGGTTATTGAGATTACTAAACGTGTCATGTTTACCTATTAGAAAAAAATAATAACAATTTTGGACACTCGAATTACTGAAACTGGCCATATTTAGTCACTCTTTGTAATTATCCGTCCAACTCCGTTAACGAAGTCTGTTATGTGCTGACATGGATAACGATAGCGCCTACTCAGCAGCGTTTTGGGCCGAAAATGGTGAAACCTGACCCGTCACCTCATTAAACCCGCCATGCCATGAACCCAACCGCCCCATGAACCAAACCCGAGCCCACTTAATCACACAAAAATGCAAATGGATCAGGTTAGAGGCCATTTTCAGCTTAGTTATTCTGCTAACTGGAAGATTCGTTAGTATATACTAACTAATATCCAAAATGTATGAACTAATATCCAAGTCTGCTGAGTATCTAGATAGCACAGACTAGTATTCAA